GCTAGGACTTCCAATTGACCGGAACCAGAAACTCGAAAAAGTAGTTCCTTGGTTGGGGATATCGGTTGGACCGGACATGCCAACCGCCTTTCGAAGTCCCTGATGCAACAATTCCAGAAAGACTTCGCCGGCTAAAAACTGTCGATGTAAGGTTGTAGGTGAAGAGTTGACCTATAATAAAGAAAAAGCAAAAAGAGGCCGAAGAGGACTTGAATAGGGACTCCCTCTCTTCCCCTTAGCAATGAGAATTGGTGTGTCGGACGAGTTGTCTGAACATGGCCTCAATAAATGTGCCAAAAAAGGCAAGAAATAGCTGGCTTCTTGCCAGTGATTGCAACAAGGGCGTGATAATGAAATCGTTACATGTTCTGAATGTAGAAGGTAGAAGGCAAAATTTAGAAATCCAGTAATTGGTCAGTATCACCACATTGATTGCACCTAAGGATCGAGCTGAAATACTCCCACAACGACCGTAAATGCCTACGTAGCCAATCGCGCGCTATCCAGGACTGGCAAGTGGGCTCGCAGCAAAATCGGTAAGCCCCTCACTTCGAAGGCGTTAGACTCCCTTCCAACGACTTTCAAAGGTGAGTTTTCAAATCAGTGACACTTCCTATGTACTTGACTAGGGCTAGTGCATCTTTCCACCCCTTAGAATCGAATGGTTGAAACCGTGCTGAGACTGTTGCTTCAAAAAGGCGAATTCTTTTGCGAGGGTGTTTTTAGTAACATGTAATTCTTCTTATGGTTGCTTGAGTCCAAGAACGCTAGAAACTGGATAATGATGCTTCCGTGTAGAGTTTCAACTACCGAGAAACAATTTCAATTTCGTATTCCAGACTGGCAGTTTAGAATACTAGACTGGGGCGGAAGTGGTGTAGTGGCAAGTGGCACGCTTACCACGCGAGCGGTCCGGGGATCAAATCCTGGGTCGTGAGTCGCCCGGGCCAACCAAGCCTTCCATCCCTCCGGGGTCGGTTAATTGGTACCAGACTTGTCTGGGAGGATAAAAACACTGACTTGTACATCGGCTGGCCCCCGCAAGTCATTGTATAGGCCACATCGCATTCAAACGCCACTACGAATGTACAAATGGAAGTAGAATGCGTGCCGCATCCAAAAAGGGATTGATCAACGGCAAATGCTTTATCCTTTTATTATTTATTCTAAACTGTAGCGTTTAAAAACCTTTCTTATGAAGATAACGTTTCCTTTTACATGGATTCATTCTAGAGGTACGCAACACTTGATAATTAAACTATTTAATAGCAAACATAATAGAAATATGCAAACATTGAATTGTAAGAATTATAATGGCAAGGGGAACAGAAAGTTTCCGAAGTTTTGAATTCCTTAAAAAACCGTATTTTTCAATTACGAATCCTAATTCCGAACTATAATGCCTATCGAATTCTAGACCTAATTTTGTACATAATTAAAGGCAAAGTTCGGCTCAGACCCATCACCCTTAAATCATTAAATCATTAAGAAGCCCTTACCATGGCTAGAAGTGCTGGGTACGCAAGTGCAAAGGTAGCGCCACCTTTCTACATCGAAACGCGTCACTAGGACCCTAGGCGCCATGGACTTCTAACAGACTCCACCAAACTTAACATGGTCCGCCCACCGTTCGATATCTTGTCTGCGTCGCTGCGTTGATCTGCTATGCTCTCTCTTCTCGGACTTCTCTACCGCTCTCCGCGCTCACATTATCTCTCATCTCCCTGCCTGTCTTTTGAACTTCTCCACAGCATGGAGCAAAATGCTCGTATTTCCTGTGTATTTCAGGATTTTCTTTCCTTTTTTCTCCACTGGCGGTCCACCTCCCACCCCTACTTTCACATTTGAGTGGAATCAACCCATAATTAATCCTGATTCTTGCCTTTGAATGATTTAAGAAAATTTTGTTGTTTATTGACTTTGCCGGACCAAAAATAAAAAAGTTTCCAAACTTTTGACCGCTACTGAGTCTCGGCTTGACGTAATTCGCTCTCTAGATGTACATACATGTAATGGAATATGTGCTATCAGGGAGGAGATCACGCAAGGCTATACTTCTACTGATAGAACGTTCTTCAAGCAGAGAATACACGTACACACACGATCATGACTATGATGTGAAGTTACTTCTTAAATTTGCTTGACCGAAACTTTACATTTTTCGACCACACACAATGAGGGAGAGAAAGCAGTAGGTTTTTCTGCAAATTCCATTGTCAGGAAGGTCGTCGAAAACTCGGAAAAGCATGGTTTGTACGGTGCTTAATTTGGCAGTGGGCACTCCCATGTCCACTGGCGCTCACAGGATTGTTCAGTGCGTATTATTGACCTGCAGAGATGGGAATGACACGAAAAACCGGAAAAAATTATAGGGAAGTCAGATCGTATTTGGCCTTGGACCGGGCTCAACGCATAAGCATTCAGACAAACATTTTTTAAATTTCTCAGCTCTTGTGGAGATCTCTCAGTATAACCATCTTATCTCACCAGAAATTCCCTGCCGGATAACGGCTAAACTAAGGCTATTCCTTCCCAACGGCGTCGGTCGGCGTCGTAAAAAAGCCAAACCTGAATGGGATGTAACAGCGGTGTACCGTGTCTGAGTGAACTTGCCCATGCCCAGCTTGTGGTAGAACCTTTCCTCCTCCTAAGCTCGAAAGACTCTACTCAGTGCTCATAAAACATGAGGTACTGAAATAACGGCTTCCACAAAATTGAAGTCTCAGTCAGGTATGCAAACGTGACAATGTGCTGGTTACCTTTTCAGGTTGGCCAAAGTGGTTGCTGCGACGCAAGCCGTTTCAAACCATCGAAAATTTCCTGGGAATTTTCATGGCATCAAATGAAATGACCCAGAAATTTTTTGACTGACCTAATGCCGGCCAGACTGTGCGGATCGAGCGATTCGCTGCTAACGATTAGCTGGCATCCGCGATCGCGCTGCGGTACCAGCCAATAAGGTCATTCGCTGGTCGCTAACGAATCGCTCGATTCGCCAAGTCTGACATCAGCCTAATAGAAGCGTTCCCAGCAGCAAGGAGCTCCCCAATCCCAACTCCATGTCCGTGTCATCCAGGCGAATAAGGTCATCTGGAGGGATTCTCGTTAATGGCTCTCCTAAATAAGACGTTACTTCAAGTAAAATTTTTGCAAAGTCGGCACGATATGGTTGAATAATAGGAGAAATCTCATGACTGTGTCCTGGAAAAGTGTAGCCTAAACTCAAAAAACAAAAAGGGGTCACATCATAGAAAAAACTCTTGAGCATATTAAAAATGCTAAGCAACTTTATCTCCTTGCGTATAGCGATTCAAGAAATAATGTAATACGAAGATGTTTTTACGACATGATAGATACATAGGCTAGTCAACAACCTAGTTTTGTAAACAACGCAGGTAAATGAATTCAATACACAATTACATCTCAATGAATTAATGACACGTGGTTTGCTAAGCTCATTATAATACCGACAAGTGAAATGGCAGTACACCCAATAACTCGTTGGAGGCGACAAAGCATTGTTATCAAAGAAATAACAATCCTAACAAAAAAGCCTTGAAGACAGAATCACAGTGAACCATTGCTGCTGGTGAGAAAGTGCGGATTAGGAGGATATTGCTGTGTAAATGAAGAGCTATAGGGATATGCTGAGTAAATGGAGGGATCAATGGGGTAATACGAGTTAGGATAGATTGGATATGCACTGCACATGGTAGAGCCAGACAGCGATACCGAAAGTGAAATGTTAGGTGGACTTGAGAGACTCTGCACCTGAAAATTCACACATATTATTCGGCAGAAGCTAATACACTGTGGTATGGTCTCTGCTAGTACGTATTGTTTATTTTGAGGATCTACGTAGGAGATGAGTATACACCAGAGTTGAGTACCAGACAAGAGGCCCGTCGCGCGACGAAAAGGCAGAACGCAGACCGGTCAGCACACGACCACAGGTTACAGCGCGTACTCCAGCGATTTTGCGTAATGTCAAACAGAATGTACTATATGCGCCCCACATCACAAAATCAAACTGTTGTATATGCAAGCTTCTCTTCCATTTTTCGTCCAGTAGGTCGCGATAATGATAACCTTAAGCTTGCTCACAGTACCGCCTGCATCACGGGGCACCCTACATGGTCCATAGCGCGGCCAGACGCGGATGGATCTACGAACGAGTCACACTGTGAGCTATGCAATGGGACGAACTGAAGCACATTTTGTTTGATTTAAAGGGTGAAGTCACGATCAGAATGAAAGTCGAAGAAGGAGTACTCCATCTAGTAAATCCGTGACCCTAATGTGCTGACTGAACCGATTGAACCAAAGATGACCTCCGCGACTCATTAAGTCAATCTTGGCGCAGTGCGCCAGTGCCCGCCCAACGACCAGATCTAATCACTCGCCCGCCATTTCCTCGTGCGCTGAATCAGCATATGCTATACGAAGTTATACGAGCACAGCGATGAGAGTCGCATCAATGCTCAAATCAACGGGCAAGGAAGTGGTACCATTTCTCGGGTTCTGGGCCGTTTCTCATGGTTCTTCCTTCTTTCGTGTACCACTCACCATCCCTAGCCCGCCCCCCTACGTTAACCATTAGGTGGTTGCTTTTTCATCGCTGAATTCCTCTTAAACGCAAAATCGCTACAGTACGACTCGTCCGCTGACCCGTCTGCGTCTCTGCCTACTCGCCGGATTCGCACTAACATGACATCGGCCTTATACGCCTTCCCACCCTCTGGGTCTGGCCATTCTACTATTCATTACTCTTCACTTCACTACAGCTTCTACCAGGCTTTATTGTTACGGTTTTGATCGAAACTTCAGTGCGAACTATAACGTATATTGCCGATACAGTTTATGCAAATCTACGATGTTTTGCCCCACAGAGGATCCCCCGGCCTGCAAATATTTCAAATTACCTCACCGCGCACCAAAGTCTCTATGAAACAAACCTTCAATTCGCACATCAACGCTGATCCTACTCGAAAATCTGATATCAGCTACCACTTTGATGATGATTCCGGATGTTGCTCGGACACAGGAATGTTCAAATCCCACTTGTAAGTCTAAAGCGAGAGATTACAAGAGTGTGCGTCAAGCACGGAAGTGCATGCATCAGTAGAATCTGTGGTTACTGGTCTAAATAAGCGAGATGTGGTCTTTTTTGTGGAAAAAGACGCGATAATCCGGCACCTTGGAGCTGCCAATCCTCCTCTGAGCTCCGCCTCCGCCGCCGCTAGCAGCATCATTGCTCTTACCGTTTGGATGAGATGTTCCACTTCGAGTGTGTATCCTATAACCTTCCTATAAAATGCGTTATCAACCTCTTAACGTAATCCCTCCCTCGCTTCACGTGCCTTGAGGAGAAGGAAAAATCATCATTGTCTTCATTGTGCAGGTTATGAGCAGTACCGAGGGAGCAACATGACTAAGGGTAGAGGTCGTAATGGGGTTATAGTCAGTTTCGTCCAAGGGCAGCAGTCAAGAGAAAGGCTTGGTGATTCAGCGTTTTGTAGTGTTCTCTCGGCACTCTCGCATATGCACACTATTACAGCGTCTCTGCTTTCTTTCTTTCTTCCTTCAAAAGGTCTAGTCCTATTAAGAAGAAGAAAATATAAGTTTAATATAAATTTATAATTAAAATATATAAATTAAAATTAAAATAAGAAAATTAAGCAGAAGGTGCGGCTTTTCTGTCTGGACTCTCACGCGCTGGTTGACCACTGATCCGTAACCAGGGTGAATAACGGTCGAGGAATTCCTCGACCATGGCTCTCTACTGTGCGAGAGTAGTGTCGAGAGTGAATGCATGCGCGGAGAGCACAGACGGCTCGCGGGTGGCGAGAGTGAGCATCCGCGTGGGAGAGCGTGAAAGAAATCCTCGACGAGCCGTTGTCGTTTCCTCAAGCGATTTTCACCCTGCCCGAACCTGTCAGTTTACCTAAGGAACCGTGAAGTGCGTGCTTCAAGTCGGCTGTCATTAGTGTACCAATCACAGTCGATTCAGAAAGTGGGACACTCACGTGAGACATCTTGAGTGTGCCTTTGTGCTCACTGGTAGAAAGCCTTCGTATGCCCCAATGAGAAACCGCTTGGGATAGGATGTTCAGGTTTAAAAAGTGCCCTCTGCACACAAATCTGCGTGCTGCAGCGTCGGTAGTTGGTTACCATCAGAGCCAGTACACTTCTTTCTCATCAATGTGTTTCAGCGACCTTGGAAAGTCTCGTTGCGACCCCCCCCCACACACTTGTTATATACACTATCACGGGGACACTCCTAAAATTAAGGGAATTAAGTGCAATCTACAAAAATGATCTTGTTATGCGGTCTGCATGTATGGCGCTACCTTATAATCACGTTACCCTCTGGAAATCTAAACTGTCCAAGTTGGTTTTGTAGAGTTTGTGATATTTGGCATCACAACCTCCATTATGTAGTCACGGTCAACACTTACTCGATTGGCCACTATTATTGTAGATTTCAAAGATATGAGGATGGTTCCTCACTCTACATGACGTTCTGCCTCTCTGCGGTTGACAACACATGAATAATGAATAAATAAGTAAATAAATAAAAAAAATAATAACTCAGAGATATAGAAAAAATTGGGGTGGTTTCGTGTATTTGGGCCAACTTCTATGTTTTACCCAGGATCGTGGACAAGAATTGAACAAACGTTTAGCACTCGTGGAGCATCAATGGAAAACTCCGAACATTATTAACACGTTGACGACCGCGCTATTTTTCGCTGTCTGGCGTGTGGGACCGCGCGCATTATTTTGACCGCGCGAGTGTGACATGGCATCATGTCAAACGGTCCCACGAGAACTCCTTTTTCTCAGGAAGTGTGTATTTGTTATCTTTCTTGTGTGGTAGGTCTCCGATTATGCGATTTTGGCCATTTTAGCGATTCCTGTGATTTGATCATTATTCAAACATTTTTAGAAAAACTCGATAGCCCATCAACCGAAGCTTCTTTCCAGGGACCACGCCTTTTGTAACAATGCCTAAGTATGGCGCATACATCACGTAAATAAGTTACCTAAAATGTTTGAAAACCAGCTTAAAAAAGACTGTGACATGACATCATGTCACACGGTCCCACGTGGCCGAAAGAGTGTGGTATGACATCATACCACACGGTCGTCAACGTGTTAAAGAAGGAGCGATTTAGAGAACAATTATGACTAAACGACGACTTCATCCGCCAAGACACGGCAGAGGACCGATATAAAGGAAAGTATCAACGACATCGAGTGCCACACGTCCGGCCTCGACTTCCGTGGCAGAATGGATGGACTAAGATCCAGCGGGCTCGCACGAACCAGAAAGCGCAGTTGACTCTCCGCCAACCCAAAGTCTACATGAACACCGAGACCAAAGCAACCACACATACAACCTGGCACAATTCAATCGCGTAAAATACCTCAATGATTAAATCCCCCACCCCCTCTCCACTCTAACTCCCACCTCACACCCCCACCTCTCTCTCCTGTGTCGTGTTGTCATAGTGTGTGCTCGATTACTGTATCCGTCCCCGAACGCTAACAAAACCAAGGGTCCGACTGGTTTACACTGCGACTTCATGACCATCCTGACAGCTTTATATAACACTCCTATCGAACACGTTCGCAGCTCGACATGGTGTTTCACGTGGTAGCCGAGGAAGGTAGAAAGGAGAGGAGGCCGGGGGAAGGAGATTAAAGGCAGGGGGGTGGTCAAAGGAAGGTGATAAAGCTGGGAGGGAGCAGGAGCAGGAAGTTACACGCTTTCCCAGATCACGTTTGATCACAGTGGCGCGGTATTGTTGCATTGTGGTGATCACATACTCAACGGCTTGGGTACCCCCTTCAGTCGTTTCACAGGTACTAGCATTGGCCCGCTGGAGAGCCAGTAAGGGAAGCGGAGGATAAGGTTGAGGAATGGGCATCAACCTGGCGCGGAGGAGGTAAAAGAGCCGTTGGACCGGACCAATCTGGTGAATAAATAAACTGATTGATTAATGTGGGAGATACAGTTGATGAAAATTAAGCCCCATGGATGCAGGTCAGTCAGGCGACCGCGTATGCGATGGAAACGATTTCAAGATCGTACGGGAGCCAGACTAGAACAAGGAGCGGCAGATTGGAAACGCAGCAATTTCTGACTTACAACACCATGACCTGTTCTCTTGTTCTATATCAAAGGAATAATGGCAATAAATTTAAGTATTGCGATGTCAATAGTAATCAAATAGCTGACTTAAATTGATGAGACATATTAAAAACATGCAATGCACGACTTACAATTGCTCACTATTCTGTTATTACGGCCACCCTACAAGCAGAGTCAACCCTGCGTTGCGCAGTTCTCAACGGCCACGTTGCGCAGTTTCGCCCGATTAGACACGTTCTCTCGCGCGAACATTCACACTCGCATGCTCGAGCCGTCTGCGTCTCCGCCCATACAGCGTGCGTTGAGGATCTCTCAACGTGCCGTTGCGAACTGCGCAACGCAGGGTTGACTCTGCCTACAAGCAATTGCAACAAATCCACTTACCGAGACTGGAGTGTCGCCACTGCCCCACAATGAATCTCCTGTTGAGCCAACCGGTGTCACAGGTGCTTGAGGTACATCCGAAGGCGTGATCGCTTTGCAGGGGGTGCTGGAATACGATAAAAATTAGTATACCACCTGCGAAGATTGCAAATAAGAAAGCAACTATTGGTTGCACCTTGGTTAAATCAATCTCATCCACAACTTTAGGCATTTCGCACATAAAAATGAAGAACCGTTAGTAAGGCCAATGAATTTGGGTGAGATCTATTCGAACGGATAAGAATAGTGACATGAACACATCTGTTGGCTGCATAAAATTGCAAAAATCAAGCCTTATTCAAATGCATTCGCGCGTTTCATTTGCCTGTCAAAAACATTTTCGAAGACGTCAAAATCATCACCAATATGAAGGCAGAAGCTTTACCAACAACAAACACGCGTCTGTTCAACTCCTGAATTAACCCCAGAAGTCATATCAAGGAATCCATTCTGTGGGTGGGATCGAGTAGCCACGAGTATCACGGATGTGCCGTTGTTGCGGCTCGAAATGCGCGACAATGGCGCTAGGGTCTTACAAAGTGATCTGATGGAGACTAATCAGAAGTTATGACGAGTTACCTCATGCAAACCTCATGACACGCAATGTGGATTAAGGCGTAGTGGCTAATTCGAAACGCGCGGGTTAGTGGAGCCGTGGAGTAGGGGGTCAGAAAATTCGTCCGGCTCCGCCCCTTCCTCATTCTAAAGGGAAACAGAGAGAGAGAGTCTTGATTAAGGGTTTCATCACTAGATTGTTTTGCTCCTTTGGTCGTCTCCAGTCAACTCCGCATCAACAATTCATTATCGACAGCTGCTACCATAAAAATTTGATCTTAGGTTGTTGCTTTGAGCCTAGGCAATGGCTTGGACTTGCTTATGCAAATCAGAC